AGGTGCCCCTCTTTAGATGAGCCCCAAGTCTCCAGATGGCCAAAGACCCCCAACTCCCTGTTCTTCTTACTCCAGACCTGCTTCACTCATCTCTGTTACCTGCCTGGACACTGTGAGCACTTGGGCTTGTGACCTCCTGCTGTTTCTATAACCCTGCCCTCCCCGCAAGGCCGTGAGCTTCCTGAGGTCAGAGCAACCCTCATGGGGCCTGGCGCAGAGCAGAGAAACAGTAAATGTTGGCTGAGTGAGTGAATATAAGCAAGAACAGGAGGAAACTCCAGGGAGTGGTAAGACCAAGTGGAGCAAACTTGTGTGTAAGGAGGAGAAAGTCTTCCCTAAAGGAATTGAAGCACTCAATCAGACGGTCTTTAAGGATTAGTTAAGAAAAGATAGGGCTTCCCTGGAGGCGCAGTGGTTGAGGGTCCGCCTGCCGATGCAGGGGACACGGGTTCGTGACCCAGTCTGGGAGGATCCCACATGCCGTGGAGCGGCTGGGCCCGTGAGCCATGGCCGCTGAGCCTGTGCGTCCGGAGCCTGTGCTCCGCAACAGGAGAGGCTAATTTTTTTAATTAAAAAATAAAAGATAATTGAGTGCACCAAACACTTTGTATTTTGTTTCACTACCTTGCCGTCCTTAAAGCTGGGGTGGTGAGTAGGTTAATCTCACTGAACTGGTTTAATAAATAGAAATCCATTTTAAATTTATTTATTTTATTTATTTATTTTTGGCTGCGTTGGGTGTTCGTTGCTGCGCGTGGGCTTTCTCTAGTTGTGGCGAGCGGGGGTTACTCTTCGTTGCCGTGCGCAGGCTTCTCATTACAGTGGCTTCTCTTGTTGTGGAGCATGGGCTCCAGGCATGTGGGCTCAGTACTTGTGGCTCATGGGCTCTAGAGCGCAAGCTCAGTAGTTGTGGCACACGGGCTTAGTTGCTCCGCGGCATGTGGGATCTTCCTGGACCAGGGCTTGAACCCGTGTCCCCTGCATTGGCAGGTGGATTCTTAACCACTGCGCCACCAGGGAAGCCCATAGAAATCCATTTTTTTTTCTCCCGCTGCAGAGCACAGGCTCCGGACGCGCAGACTCAGCGGCCATGGCTTATGGACCCAGCCGCTCCGCGGCATGTGGGGATCTTCCCGGACCGGGGCATGAACCCACGTTCCCTGCATCGGCAGGCGGACTCTCAACCACTGCGCCACCAAGGAAGCCCAGAAATCCATTTTTAAATGTCTCCCAAGGATGAAAATCCTCTGCTGTGTTCTGGCTTCCAAAAGCGGTCTGAAACTCTACTGCCACCTTGTGGTAATAAGTACATATTGCAGGAAGAGTATTCTAAAAGGAAAACGCAGCCAACGTGGACCCATCCACCCCCACCCCCACCCCCAGGCAGAGCCACCCTTCACAAAGGGAAGGCACAAAATAGGGCAGAAGTGACTGGTTTAAAAGAGAAATTAAATTCAAACCACAATTACTGAGTATTTGAGGCACCTGAGTTGGGCTAAGTCTGCTCCAACCCTATGCCCCAACCCTTGATTACCTTAACTATAATCAAGACAGACATAAATAACTAATTCTAATGCAAGGCAGACTGAAGTCCAAGTCCAGAACTATCACATCCATTGAGTGTGGGTGTTGCATCTCAGCTTGAACTAACCACAATACTCAGTAATATAGGCCAGGCATCGAGCAAGGTGGTTTCTCTTTTTTTTTTTCCCTCCAGCAAAACTTTACAACAATCTTTTGAAGTAAGTCCAATTAGCATCCCATTCTGCAGATGAGTCAACTGAGGCTCAAAGAAGTGAAGCCTCTTACCCTAAGAGCTAGTGAGTGGTAGAGAAAGGATTCAGATCAGGCTTAGATTTGACTGACTCCAGACTCCTTGCCATTTCTTTAGAGTCTCCTACCTGCTCTAGACCAAAAGTGGCCTCTTGAGATTCCAGGGCCCACCGGAAATCAGAATCTCCCCACCTTATAACCTCAGCAGGTCTCTAGAAGGACTAGATAAGCACAAAGAAAAGTGGTAGAAGTGTCTGGCTCATACCTTTGTTCTAGCCCACCCTTCTTGCCCGCCCCCTCCTTGGCCTCTATTCCACAACACCCTCACCCTCTGGAGGTTCTCCCGGGTCTGCCTGCCCCAGGGGGAGAGAGGCTGCCTGTCCTGAGCCCCAAGCCCTGGCTCTGCGTCATCTCCATGCCAAGTCCACAGCCGATCTGGGCAGCTCAGAGCCTTGTTTGCTGATTCGCAAGTTCATAGTATGGGCCAGTGCTCCCCAGAGAGAAATACAAAACCATAATTGTCCCCAGATTGGCTTGTGTTCTTTGTGGAAAGAAACAATACACAGCCTTTGTGTTTAAAAAAAAAAAAATTACCGAAACAAAAAATTTCCACTTCACACTCTTTTGAATTGAGAGAAATAAGTAAACACTATTTCCCAAAACTATGTTCACTGGGAAGCCTCCTTTTATTATATTTATGCAAAAACATGAGCCGAATATCATCCTATGCCACTATAAAACACATTCAATAATAAAATGCAAACGCTATTTGCAAAGAATTACAGAGGATCAAGTTCTGGCCGATCGCGAGGAGTAGTTTAAAATTAAGAGTTTTAAGCTTCACGTATCCCAATTTTATTTTGTAATAATCTATGCCTTTAACTTACCCTGTTTTTATTTGCTCCAAATAAAGTAGCCAAAAATCCACTGCACATTGATTGTCAAAAGGGTAACTCATTATCTGCTTTTGCCCAGAAATAACAGAGGAAGAAAAGAAGGTGTTTGCTTGCACTCCCACAATTCTTTGGAAATATTTGCTTTCAGACATTTTGTATTATTGTGCAGTGCACATGTTTCTGCATGGGAGCTTTGCAATTTTGAAAAGATACCAAGAGGAGCAGAAAAAGAAACTAAAGAAGTTTTGCTCATTCTTTAGTCCAGGTTAACGTGGAGCCTAATCTGCATACCCAACTGAGGGATTCTGGGACATTGCTGTGGCTCTCCTGGGAGTATTTAGACGAAGGGCCTGCAAGGAGGATTTCGGGTGGTTGCTGGAGGGATCTCACACCCTATGCCATTAGAGGAATATGGAGAGCCAGCCCGCAGCACTGAAGAAGACACTCTGGGGAGGATGGCAATTGGAGGAAAGACACCCTAAGCCAAAGGAGTGGATGAGTATATGGCTGACTGTGCCAGTGAACAGTAAGAGTGCTGTCAAGAGCCTTGGTCACCCAGTAGGGAAGGACAGGAGACGCTAGCAGTGCCAGGGTGGAGTCCAGCTCCTGTGCCTGCTGAGCAGTCCCTAGGAACGGACCCCAAATCCACCCAAATTTTTACATAAACCCTCTGGGATTTATAGACCACAGAGGCTTGGAGGTCTTCTCCCTCTAAACTGAGGGAGAGAGGAGGTGTACCCAGCAGGAGGATGGGCAAGGTCTAGGAACCAACATTGAAGCCTGGTCCATCCAGGGTTTCCATTCACGGCCTGACCACCACCCAGTCCCCATTTCCACTCCTCCGTCTCTGCCTGCCCTTCTTTTTCTCCTTCCTTCGTCCATCTTGCTCACTGCTCCTCTTCCCACTACCGCCAACAGTCACATTAAAATCTCTGACCTTTTTGTAGCATTTCTTGCTTTTTCTCCAGAGCACTTTTTGTACACAAATACTTCTTAAACTGGGGTGCATAGCCCTTGGGGGGCTCCCATCCATGGGCCAGAGAATTTGCAGAGCCACATGACACACATGGCCCATCTTGCTGGCATTAAAATTACCCAGTGGTAAATAACTTAAAACACTGTCTTTGTGTTGAAAGAAACAACATGGGTATATTATGGAGCAGAATGCAAAATGCACATAAAATTTTAAGCTACAGTAAGACTTCAGATAAATTGTGAGCTTGTGGCAGGCTGCTTTAAGCTACACCCTCAAACCCCCAGGGTACCTGTTTACTCTCTTTTGCCATTAGGTTTGGCTTTGGTGGAAAAGTTGGAGAAGCTCTGACTTACTTTATCCCATGAAATCCTCACAACAGCCCTTTCAAAGCAAGGCAGTTTTAGAGATGGAGGAACGGGGACCAGATATGCTGAGTAACTTGCCCCAAGTTACCCAGTAAGCAGGTGTCAGAGCCTAAACATTGTCCAGGTATTCTAACTCCAAGTCCAGTATTGACTCCACACCGAGGTACTGCCAGGCACATTGAACCACTGGGGGCAACAGGCCCAGGAGACAGGTAGTGCTGGGCCCACAGCTAGGGAGGATCCTCTGCAAATTTATAAAGTCCTCCCCCATAACCCATGGCTTCAAAATTCATAGGCAAGCAGGTGCTCCAAGCCTGGGGAGCTAAGACGCAGATGGCTGCAATTCTGACATCACCCAGATAAGCCACTGTCAACTCTGGACCGCAAGTCTCAGAAGCTGAGGGCAGGGAGATTGGGAATTCTTGGTTGTTGAGACTGGCAGCTCTTTCTGGTAAGACTCAAAAGGCAAGAAGTTGACATGTGGGGACCCAGGTGGCCCTGCTCTCTTCCTCAGTGCTCAGTGCTATCAGGGCAGGTACTCGGCTCCCAAGCCACTGGGCCCAGCAGGACTGGAGTCAGCTGCCGAATGGTTGGCTGGAGAAGGATTTGAATCCAGGTCGGGCTGACTCTCAACCCCCAGCCCTTCCCATGCTGCCTGAGGTTATGAAAGGAGTCCCATCCTGGAGTCAGGATACCTGAGTTCTAGCCCAGCTTCTCCAAAAGGAGCTGTATGACTTGGGCCAATGCCTTCCGATTCTAGTACAGCGGGAAACACTCTAGCACCCAGGGGTTCTAGAGCCAGAGCCACCTGGGTTCAAATCCCAGTTTTTCCACTCACTAGCTGTATGGTCTCAGGCAAGCTTTCACATGCCTGTGCCTCAGTCTCCATATCTGTAAATGGGGACACGATTGGTGCCCAGCTCACAGGATCGTCGTGAGGATTAAATATCACCCACACAAGGCACTCGGAAGAGAGCCCGGTATGGAGCCATGCTCAATAAAGGTGAGATGTTATTGTATAAAAATAAGAGTCAAGGCGGTCAAGTGGCAGCCCCAAGGACCCACACCCTCGCAGCAGTGAGTCTGATTGGCAGGTGGGATGGGAGCCGCTGTGTCAGACCTAAACAGCTGCCTCTCCCATTGTCCCCCAGCAGCTCAGGCCCCCAGTCCCGTGGCTGGTATTCATTCAACAACTTTTTACTAAGTATCTGTTGCAGGAAGGGGGACCCCTTCCAGGGCCTGAGAGTGGGCTCTTGTCTAACACTCGGAAATGAATTGTCCGAGGAGACATGTGCTGACAAAGCAGGAGACTTTATTGGGAGGGGGCACCCAGGTGGAGAGCAGGAAGGTAAGGGAAGCCAGGAGGACTGCTCTGCTACATGGCTTGCAGTCTCGGGTTTTATGGTGATGGGATTAGTTTCTGGGTTGTCTCTGGCCAATCATTCTGACTCAAGGTCCTTCCTGGTGGTGCACACATCGCTCAGCCAAGACGGATTCCAGTGAGAAGAATTCTGGGAGAACATATGGACTGGCATCTCCTGTCTCCTTTTGACCTTTTCCAAATTCTTCTAGCTGGTGTTGACTTGTCAGTTCCGTGTTTCTTACCAGGACCTCCTGTTGTTACAATAACTCATGCAAGTGGCTACTATCTTGCCTGGCCAGGGCTGGAGGTTTCAGTCAGTGTTTCCCCTAACATATGTACCCTGGACCAGGCATGGCTAGTGTATGGGGGACACAAAGGAGAGCAAAACCAGATGCAAACCCTGTGTGTCTAGAAGAGAGACAATGAACAGACCCACAAGGAAATGACAGCCAGTGGTAAATACTACGTGGGAAAATAAGTCGGGGGAGGGGATAGCGATGGGGAGGTGTTTTAGATGAGCTGTTTCGGGAAGCCCTCTCTGATAAACAAAGAAGTATTTATCATCTGCAAATAGTATTTAGCCGCCCTCAGCTTCAGAGCTCAGCCAGTTTCCCAGCTTGGGGAATCCGTTGGCGTGGTGGTCACCCATGTGATCCCAGAGGCCCGCAAGGAAGACAGGGAGGGTTTGAGCATTGCAGAAGGGGACGCCCTGATATCGGTGGATTGTGACATTTTAGGGGAGGTGCTGGGGGTGATGGTCCACGAGTACACTCAGGTTGAAGGTAAAAAGCTGGGATTGGGAGGCTGGATCCAGAGTACCGACTGGAACACAGTACAAGGCCAATTGCAGGGTCCCATCTCTGAGGTGCGTCATCCGCAGGAAT